TCAGGAACCCGCCACTTCGTCAGCAGTCGGTTTTTAGGTCGATACGAGAAAGAGCGTGGCAGGGCCACTTAGCCTAGGACCATAGGTGCGGTAGATGAGACTGCAAACGCGATCAGCGCAGTTCGCATAGTGGGCAGAGACGTCGGATCGGCTAAGTACGGCTTAAAGGTATTTTGATTAAATAGTAGTAATAATAATTAAAATTACTATTAGTATATATTTATAGCATTTCAGTGTTTGGTTTCGGAGAATTCTGTTGCCATGGTGGCACGTAAGGCGGTGCTGGTCAAGCTTTGTCTTAAAGGTGTCCATGGATGGGGACATAACAATGTCCGCAGGAAGGACATTCCATGCCTGTATTACTCTCTTAGAGAAAAATAAGTTTCTTGGGTCAAATCTTGCCCCAGTCAACGTACTTTGAGAGAGTGTCCTTGCAGCCTAGAGGTGGTGGCCTGCTCAAAGAAGTCATTTGTTTCGAGGCAACAATCCTGACCACGCAGCATGCGAAATGCCTGGATTAGGTCCCCGCGTAGCTCCTGTAATCCAGAGGAAACAAGTCAAGATTTGCCAAGCGGGTCTCGTAAGGGAGGTTCCGTTGGCCTCTTACTAATTTTGTTGCGCGTCTTTGTACTCTTTCAAGGGTTTTTCCGATCTTTGGCTGTCCAAGGTCGTTTACCTGTGCAATTGCGCCTCCCCATTGATGTCCGTCGTTTTATAGATTAGAAGTTATCACCGATAATTATATGAGGAGTTGTAGAATTTAAACACTTCATTAGGTGGAGTCTCATTTTTGCAATCTACCTTGTTAAACTTCCTTTTTTGCGATAGGACCCACTAAATGCCCTGTGAATTAGTTGATTTTCTATTGTAAAACGTTATACGTATACGTTTTGAAAGTTATTTCCTTAGTAATCATGTACTCAATCAACGTCGATTTTGACATTCTGCCCTCGGAACACGCAAGCTCTTTAAGAACAATTACGACGTCACGAAATATTACTTTGCAATAACGGAAATATTTGTTAAATTTTATTGGGAGTATGTTGTAGCAGGGCACTAGGACACGACGAAGGGAAAATAGCGCTTTAATAAGTACATTAACAGCGAAAAGTAGTTATAGACTACAATTACAGAAAATTGAAGACAAATGAGCAGATCACGGTTAAATACACCCGTCATTATCCGCCTACAAATTATCTTCACAGATCCACAATCTCTGATCCAAATAAATAGCAACAGTACGAGTACGAAGGCTAAAACTAAGAATCAAACATAGATCCAACACTAAATTGAATACCTTGGCCCTATCTCTTACCGCAAATTTAACCTCAATCCTGCTTAGGCCTAATATAACCCAACTATGTAAAAGTACGGATAATATATATTGGGTGATGAGTGACAACAAATGTCTCTAACACGAATTTAGAACAACTAACATAATAAATCTGTTTTGCTTATGAATAATTAACTTAAAAGGTGCATTGTAAATCTGGGATAGAATAATCAGCCGCTTTGCTGTACGGGCAAAACCAGAGGCACATTAATGTTTCGCCGTATTTACACTAGGCTGAGATCATATTCTTTTCGAATGGTTGCTGCAGCCTGAAGTTTATTTATCGTCATCTAAAGGCAGACATCGGAACTCAATTCCAGCTAAAATACTAGGGATCCAGCGGTCGGTTCTATGAAAAGTGGTTTGCTTATTTGCATAAAGAGGTTCAAAATTTACATCAAACATCACTCTTGCCATTTCAGAATTCGAAAAGACCCACTATCCAGACGTCTTTGCCCGTGAGAAGCTGGCCACCAGGCTGTGTCTAGCTGAAGCGCGCATTCAGGTCTGGTTCTCCAACCGCAGAGCTAAGTGGCGTCGAGAGGAGAAGCTGCGCCTGGCTGGACAAGAACAGCCAAAACAGCAGCAGCAGCATCAGCATCAGCACTCAAAGAAAATGGAGGCCAGTAGATGCGAGCACACTGGCTGGCGTGAGAAGAGGAGTAAGAGCGAACAGGAGGAGATCGGTGGCCATATGGCTGGCGAGACGGATGATTGTGAAACTTCTGTGGACCGACAGCAGTTTCAACACACCTACTCGGCCTTTCGGTCCGCACCTCCATCCGACGACTCCGCGGAAATGTACCATGATATGCGAGGTGCGTCTTCCTCCTCATCCGGCTCCTCCTCTTCCTTCTCCTCTTGTTTACCTGCATCCTTCCTCTCCTCCCTCACACATCCTCATCCTACTCCTGTTCCTCCTCCTTCTTTCCTTCCCGCTCATCCTCATGCTCATCCTTCCCTCCTCTCCCGCCTGCCCCCACTCTTGCTCCTATCCTCTCCTCCTCCGCCTCCCCCTCCTCCTCCTCCTCCTATCCTTCTTCTTAATGGCATTTGAGTTTTGGGCACTTCACTCACCTCAAATCCGATTCTCCTCTAGGTAGTTAATTGATAAAGTGGGTAGGCCACAATGATAAGTACCGCCCCGGTATTACAGGTGGCCTTTAGCTATATTCCAGGGGGGTTGGTTTAGAGCTGGGTTAAAACTAGCACCGGAGAAGTTGCACGTCTCTGTCTGGAATTAAGTCGAGTCAATCTGTGGTACAGGGAACACTTATTCTCATGTGCAAACATCCAGTGTTATTAACGATCAACATTTACTGGATTTTGATGCGATGGTTCGAGGACTTGTCCTCTATGAAATAGGCTTTCTTACACTTGATGTAAAAATCACGCAGCTGGGCTGAGAGCGCAGTCTAATAGTATGTTTTTTTCTAACTATTTTCTGACGTCGTCTACAAACTAATCCGGAGTTTATTTGCAGAAAATAAAGTTTTCACTTTAACCTTCCATGGTGGTAATCGCGTTTATGCCCCTCCTTCCAAAGGACAGGAAACAGGAGGTAATGGGTTAAATTTCTTAGAAACTAATTCCTAACTTGGGATAAGTTAGTTTATTCAGGAGACTATAGGCACAGACCGAAATTTGATATGAATATGTGGGCCATCAGTCAATACGGGATAAACATGTAATATTCACGAGTCGCCAATAAGCAGCCATTAGCACAACTGACGTTAGTATTTACCAAACTGGTGGCACAAGTATTTGCTAAAAGTCCACACATGCGAGTTTCACCGGTATTCCGCCGCTGCCGGACAAAGCTGCGGGGGGTCTGGTGTGCCCTGTATGGTTTCCGGTAGATAATCCAGTTTTTAGATTGCAACTTTTTAATTTCCTCAGGAATTCATTTCTAACTGAGGGTAGATCAGCATATTCAAGGGTCTGCAGGCACACTGCTCAGACGGACCCCTCGCAGATGGGTCATGCAGCGGTTGAATATCAGCAAAACAGGTGTCTGGACTTTTTCTAGTATCCGTACTGCCAATATGATGAATACTTGCCTAAGGGTAACCATTTCCATGTCGTAGCCTTAGCTTCCTGCGTTACGGAAAGTTCCTATTTTCCTGTCCTGTCGGGGTTGAGTGAACATAAACGCACCCTACCTTCCTCAGTTAGCTAATATCGCAATCGGATATTGTCATCTTCCAATCCTTGTGGTTAAAAGATATTTCGCCAAACTTTTATTCAATTTAAAAATAAGAACATGGGTTCTTTCTTTCGCTTTCAAGTCGTCCTGCCTGATACATGCTCCATTTGCACACTTTATACGAAGTTGCCACAAAATACTTCGACCAAAGTGACATTAAATGGGGTTTGAGGTAGTCCCTTTTGGAAGTCAGCAATGTCCAATTCAGGGCGACTTGACGATTAGGCTGTAGATAAACCGAAAATGACTGTTTGAGATCTCTTTTGTATAGTCCTCGGGCATTCCGATTGACTTGTCAGGCTGTCAGACAGGGTTCTAGACTGGAAGTAAAAGACCAAGTGGAAGAAACACCTATCTTCTTGCACAGAAGCTGGTGAAGTAGTCTGCTTGCTCCAATATGAGATATGTCGTTCAAACCTGAAAATACGTGCACGCAGACCCCAGAAGTTCAAAATGCTACGATTCAATCAGAATTTGACCGTGGAAATCTCCGCCATAGCCTCCGAAAACGAAGTCCACAAAACGGGCAAGCCAATTCCGTTTGACATCTGTGCTACTGACAAAATCCACTTTGCAAAGAGGTTTTGCTTGAAAAAAGACGTCTATCAGGAGGAGGATGCCTAGATATGGACATGATGCCACAAGTTGGACACCGTTCAACTGGTAGGAAAAACAGGAAGTTAGCATTTCTAGGAGTCAAAAAAACATTAGCATATTATATGTACTGCTTTAAAAACCTCCGTCGAAGATATACCCCAAGTAGAATGGATTAAATGGAGAAAGAGCGCTGTCATTTCCATGATGGATGCAAAACACATTTTAGATAGGAAAACGTGTCGTATTTCCCCCCTTTCATCATTTCCCTGAAGTGAAGTCGGGAAGTCACGGGCATTCAAATCTACCTTCCGGGAAAACAGAGCAATCGGACAAAACTTCACGAAGGTTACCTATTCCGGAACTGAATGCAAAGCCAGCTGCATCAGGGGGGTACATATTCAATGCTCTATCTAAGATTCGGCAGGACTGTCTTTAGTGGTTCTTTTTGTCTTATAACGATAACCTACCTTTACATTTTCAGTGACCCGACTTTCCCTTTTTTTCGTTAAGTTCCGTCAATTTAAAAGGTCAAATTTCCCTTTTTCGTTAAATTTCGCCATCATAAGGTTAAATTTCTCTCAATTGGCATCAGTATCTTGAGCAGCAGGAGTTTATATTGATGGATTTGATTATATTTAGTACATTTAAACAAAAAAAAGTTTCCTTAATTTAATATTTTTTTATTACTTCCAGCACAATTAAATATTCACTTGCACTCACTAAATAAGAATTAAATGTTTGACCACAAAATACGTCAAATAGTTGGGCGGGGGGGATAAATATTTAGGGGGCCCTACAAGAGCGTTTTTGCCATCGCAACTTCTGTACTTGATATTGCTAAATATCGGCCTTGTTTATTCTAGTAGAAAAATGGTGTGGCAACTTGGACAGTGACCCTCCAGGACGCATTCACAAAACGCCGCATGTTGCCAACAAAGTCTGTTCAAAGCAGGACTGTTCACCCCTGCCATCGGAGCAGCAGCAGCAGCAGCAGTTTGTGAGTTCGTCAGGGAAAGTGCACACCGAGAGACCTTCAATGGAGGGCTTTGACGCGAGGGGCAACTGCTACGGAGAGCGCCCAGTCGGCTATCTAGCCTTTGCCCAACCC